TTCTGAGGAGACAAGAGAAGAAAAGTATGTGAGTGATGTAGCAGGAGAAAACTTTTCTGAAATAAATACATGCCAGGATCAAAAGTTTGAACCAACTGATGCCAGAAATTTAGCCAATGCACAGGCACAGGTGGTCAGCGGGCTTCAGAGGTGAAGATCCCGGAGAACACGGCCCGGGTCGGGGCGGGTCGGGGCAGGGCAGGTCAGCGCCGGTTTCTCCTGCGGGGCAGGAGAGCTCCCGGGGAAAGCTGCACACATCTGGGTCACACCTGCCTTCCCCAGAAGAGCCCCAGGTGCCTAGAAGAGTTCAGGACACATCTGACCAACACACAAGGGACGGACGGACGGACGGACGGACAGATGCGGGGGAAGAGCTGGGTGGATGGGTGTGGAGATGCAAAGTGCCACCCCGCTCCCTGGGCCACCTGGCGCCCGTATCCTTCACCTACCTTCCACGCCAAAGGCGCAAGGCAAGAGGTGGGGGCACAGAGGATGCCAGGTCCCAAACGTCCCAACCAGGGTCCCCGGGAATTAGACGCAGAGGGCAGCCTGCCCACAGGGCCAGGGGGTTGGTGGCCATCGCGCTAACCCAGGTGGGCTCTGTGGACGAAGCGGGCGCAGGCTGCATTTGGCGGGATCCCAGCCCGTGGAACGTTGGAAGCTTTGCGAGCGTGGGCACAGGCTCACAGACAGGAAGCCTGGGAGGCTGCGCCCGGGGGTGGGGGGGGGGGGTGCTGGAGCGGGAAGGAAACAAGATGTGAGCCTTGGCCCTCCCGCCGCCAGTGAGCTGCTGCGCCCTCCCCTCCAGCCGTCAGCTCCATCAGCTCCCGGCAGGTTCGCCGATCCACCCCCACCCTTGCGGGCTGTGTGGTCCCAGGCAATCCGCTTAACCGCTCTGTGCGCCAGCGCCCACATTTGTTGTCGATATTCTTTTGCCGCAAACTTTCCCCATCTTCTGCTCCCTAATAACCACCACTCCACACCCCGCTCCCGATGGTGGGGTAGGGCTGGGGTGCCCTCTGGGCCCCTCCTCCAGTTCCAGGTCACTGAAGCCAGCACTAGGGGGTCCTCCTTCCACCCCCTCCCTCCACTCTGGCACTGAGCCCTGGAGGCCTCCCCATCCCTTGCCCCCTGATTTTTGTCCCCCGCTCCTCTTCCAGAGGTTTTTCTAACAGCCGCCTGGGGGTCCCCACCTCCAGTCGACCACCTGGCACATCCTCTATGCCCAGTGCAATGGAGGAGTATAAATGCTAAGTCACCCCACTCAAGCTGCCACAGCCTTTCCTTCGAACTCCCCAGAGCAGAGTCCAGGCTCCCCCCAGGAGCTGCCCACCTCCCAAGTGAGAGCCTAACTTACTCCCCCGTGGAGGCCCCAGGCCTCAGGTTCTCAACACTGATGATGCACCATAAGCCATCTGGAGGGTTAGACGCGGGTTCCCAGGCCCTGCCCCACAAACGGCCCTATCCGTTTTCTAAGCTCCCTAGATGGATCTTCCATTTGCCACAAATCCACCTCCTCCAGGAAGCCTACTATCAAGCCTAG